CACGGAGGTTCAAATGCGGTGACTCCGGGCTATCTGCAAAGCAGATGGTTGCCCTGAGATTAGTCAGCTCGCATAGCGAGTTGGATATCCAGGTTAATAAAAAAAGATCACATATTTTGATGCATCAATTTTTCTTGTACAACATATTTATAGAATGAAACAATTCATTACATGTAATGTAACCCAAAAAACATCACATGAATTATAAGTTAAATGGGCTAGTAATGACTTGGTCTATTAAAACAACCTACTTGGTCCAATCGGCCCATCTACTGGATCTGGTTCAGTCCGTTGTAAACGGACCTGAGTGGTTCTCCTTCACTCGAAGGCTCAAACAAATCGGGTTTAACTCCACGTTACGGGTTTCGGTTTCTATTTTTTATGGTTTATGTTCTAAACAATCCTTAACACTGCAAATCGGCTTTTATATTATCACCACCAACAAATAGAAAACCTACCATCACTTTGTTATTGCTACTTACGGTGGCTTTCAGTCGTTGCCCATCATTTTGCCACCGTTGTAAGGGTTTTTTTTTAATTAACCTGGATATCCAACCCGCTATGCGAATTGACTAATCCCAGGACGACCACCTGCTTTGCAGATAGCCTAGAGTCACCGCATTTGAACCTCCGTGACCACAAGAGGATTTTTTAACCCTCCTTGGATTTGAACCTGATACCTCCTGGTACTTTTGACCTTTGGAGCCAATCTCAAACCAATCAAGCACCACCCTTGTGGTTACGTTGTAAGGGTTTTTTGTGTCGACTTTAAACAAATTATCGATCATCAAATCAAAGAATTGAGTGAGTTTTCTTTGACCTTATTTAGTGCTTGAACGTTATAGATCTTGAACGTTCAAAACCCTCGATCGAGGACCGTTTTCCTCTAGGGTTTCTCTCGTTTTTCTTAGACCATTTCTAAACGTTTGCACCATTTATAGCATCACAATTACATAAAGTACAACATAAACATTAATTAATCTCTAACCCATATACTCTAAAAGGACGTTGTTCAATCCGACACTCAAGTATTAAATGACTATCAATATCAAGATTACAACCAAAACACACATACGAGGAGGTTTTCTTTCTTCGAACAAACGTTAATGGATGTTTGTGATAAGAACCCATCTTAGTCCTAGTACCCTCATACATGGTATTTGCATAAGGATCTAATCGGTTAGTGCAATTAAGGTGAAAGGAATTTTTGCATTTATAACGACGACAGAGTGGCCGCTTGGGATGCATTTCCTTCTCACATATATCACAGTAGAAATCTTCAGGGTGATCTTCGACTGCGGGATACGTCAAAGATATTTCATGTCCTTTGCAATACCTATGAGCAACAACAC